TCTGAGGGGTCACAGCACCCTTTCTCCAAGGAGGCCAGAGAGCAGCTGATATCCTGGTCAGCTGCAGGCAAAGAAGCATGGACTAAATCTGCTTCCACACTCAAAGGTTAAGAGGTTCAGAACAGGTATCTCACAGCCTAGCTGATTCTAAGACAGTTATGTTAGAATGTCATAGCCAAAGCAGTAGCTGGTGGTGACTTAGAAGAAGGGAAGAACTGTCTTTACCTGGGAAGTCCTTATACAGAAGGAATACTAAACGGGGATTCTAGAGGCTGTGTAGCTACCCAGTTGGCTCTGTCACTTAAAGCTGCATATATTTTCAGCAGGCGAATTTCTGGGAGTTCAAGGCCAGCCAGGTCTATATAGTGAGTTCTAGGTCAGCTGGGGCTATGGGGAGACCCTGTCTCAAAAAAGACAACAAACAAAAAACTGTGTTGACAAGGAAGACATGACAACCGAAGAGTCAAGACCCTGTACCCTTGGGGACAGCTAGAAGGTAAGCCATTTCTATGCTGCTGTTGTTTACCCCATGGGATACACACAGTGGGAAAGAGAAGCTGAAAGTTCAGCCATGGGAGGCTTAGTCATGGTGTGAACGAAAGTTCCAGAAAAACTGCATCATCCACCTTGAACGTTCTACAGAGGCTGATGAACTGATTAGAAGAACTCCAGTGACTGTGGAGAGTTTGAAATGCTGCAGGTCCAGAACCATTTATCTCAGACCCCCTAAATGCTCACTCCTTGCCCACTTTTGCCTCTGACTTAACATCCTGTGACTAACAGGTAAAAACCTTTTGGAATGTATTAACTTAGCAGACTACCGGCTTCCATTAGCCAAAATGCTGAACGCCATCAGATAGCATCTGAGGCTTACAGATGAGATCTCTCTTTTGCTATAACTGTCTACCTAATGTTTCCACCAATGTATCTGAAAAAAAAAGTGTCTTGATTTATGACTTTCCTTTGTTCTGTTACTATAAAAAGTTCGTGAAACTGCTTCCACGGTGAAGCATAGAATTCGGGGTAATCTGAATCTGTGTTCCTGGGTCATGGTCACTCATATTTGGCTCCAGGAAAGAAACATCTCTTATCCCCTTTGAAGTGAAAGTTGTGCTTTTGAGTTGACAATGGACAGAAAGCTTAATTGGGAACTCCAGCTGACTGTCTCAACTTCTCCAGTCAGTTTCTGCTGGCTGTTGTGACCGCCCAGCCCAATTCAGTGATGTTTATCTGTCAGTCACTTGCTATTACTTTTAAACTTTGGCTTGCTAGATGCTTGATAAATGCACTCGTACAACACTGAAGGAAGGCTATGCTAGGTCACTCTCCAGACAGTACAGAACTGCCACCATGCTCACGGAAAGCATGACCTCACTCCTGTCCCACACGCACACCCAAACAGAACCCAACCTCAGTTATCCCCAGTGCTGAATCTACTCATGTCCCACCATGGAAGAGCAATGAAGACCCAGGGCAGAATAAGAAGGGGCAAGAGATCACAGCGACCCCCAGCAGCAGGCCACTTGTAAGTCCTCACTGGACACTCTTCTATATCACAAAGGACCAGACTGTCACCCCCTGTCTTCTTGTAGCAACTGACCTCACCAATTTCTCTGTCCTCCAAAGTGCCAGCTTTTCAGTTTCCTTTTTCTGGTTGGCTAATCCAGCATGGCTTTGTGGCCTCAAAACTCACTAGACAGTACTCAGATCCTAGGGCCCTGCTTCCCACAGGACTGTCTGGCCAGTCTCTTGAGTGCCTAAAGCAGGGTGTGCAGTAACGTCCTCATTCCCTCCAGTAGTGTGTGATATGTTTGCCCCAAACACAGCCCGGAAAGAGTCACATAAGTGAGACTGTCACCACCTCTCTCATCAGTACTCACCTCCTCACTGAGGAAGAATCACTGAGGAATCACATGTGTTTCCAGGGTCTCAGCTCCATCTTTGATTTAGTGGCTGAGATGTTCCCTGATCACTCTACCTACAAGTCAAATGACTCCTAACTAGCCCTGGCTGGAAGCCCATGAGGGGTGACCACACAAAACATATTCCAGAGCCACAAGGAGAAGTCGCCTGAAAACAGGATGAGGGAACCCCCAACCCAGAGGAGACACAAGAAAGCCTCCAACCAGGGCTGCCATAGAAAAGGAGTCCATCTGGGGCAGGTGCACAGGCTTGGCTGGGCGAGCAACTCATCTCCCCATAACAAATTCCTCCTCATTCTCTGCACTAAGACACTGTCCTAGTTTGTTTCTCCACTGCTGTAACAAAACACTCTGACCACTACCAACACGGGGAGGAAAGGGTTTATTTGGCTTACATCTACCTGGTCACAGTTCATCCAGAAGCCCGAGGTAGGAACTCAGAGGAGGGACCTGGAGGCAGGAGCTAAAGCACAGGCTATGGAGGAATGCTGCTTTCTGGCTTGCTCCCCTGGCCCCTGCTCAGCCTGCTTTCTTATGCAACACAGGCCCACCTGCCCAGGGGTGGCACCACCAACAGTGGGCTGGGCCCTCCCACATCACTCATCAAGAAGCTGCCCCTCAGACATGGCCACAGGCCAGTTCAATAGAGGAAATTCTCTAATTGAGGCTCCCTCAACCCAGGTTTGTCAAGTTGACACTAAAGCTATCTAGCACAAGCGACCCCTTGCCAACTTGACACACAATCACATCACTATTAAATCATAACCTTTCCAATTCTTGTCCCCAAGATACGTTAATATCACAAAATAAGACAGTACAGCCTTAAAAGCCCCACAGTCCTTAAAAATCTAAACACATAAAGTCCACAGTCTCTTTTAAAAGTCTCTTAACTGTAGGCTTTATGTGTTTAGATTTTTAAATAAAAAGAAATATTTAAATAAAAGATTAAAGGGGAGAATCGGGCACACCTAAGCAAAACCAAAGTCCACCAAAGTAGCTCAAGGCTGGACATCTGGGATTCACTCATGATCTTCTTGGCTCCAAAGGGTCTGGCAGCTCCACTTCTCTGACTCTGCCATCCACAGCACACATAGCTCATCTCGCAGACCCAGGCCAGTACCATTCCACACCTACTGCTGTCCTTGGTGGTCGTCCTGGCATCTCCAAAAAGCTGGGGTCTCCACTGAAACTGAGGCTATACCTTCACCAATAGCCTCTTCTTGCCCCTTAGGGTGCAAAGCCTCAGATTCTCTCCATGACCTCTTCAAGCCTGGGATCTTCACTGTAACTGAAGCTGCACTTTCACCTATGGCCTTTCCTGGCCTCTCAGAATGCCAAGCCTCAGCTGCTCTCTGCTTTCAACACCAGAGCCATGCAGGAGACTCTTAAAAATTACCAAGTCCTGCTTCCAGCTAGAGATGGAGGCTCAGGCCCCCTCTCAACCACAACTTCTGTGCACTGACTGTGAGGAAATACTTCCCAGATTTCACCACAGTGATGCTGGTCTCTTGTTACTTACAGCTGATTTTTCAGCCCCAGCTAACCAGCATCAATTGTCCCAGTAAAGTAAAGGTTTTGCTTCAGGTTCTGGTCTCTTCTTAATCACAGATGATTCTTCAGCCCCAGCTGACCAGAATCCACAGATTCTCAATTCAAAATATCACACAAATAGCCCTGATAGTCTCTGCTCCCCTTTGAAGCTTCACGAGCCAGGCCTCCATTGTTCACAACTCTTTCAGCACAACTGTTCCAAGCTCCACAGCAACAAACTCTGAGCACTCAATGGCTTTTCCAGCCCAAAGTTCTGAACT